ATGCCGAGCAAACTTCATTAAGTCCATTGCAGTTTTCCTTCTTTGTTAGTCTGAAAGCTAGGAATCAAAACTGAGATCTATAATATTGAACCTCGGAGTATCCAGAGTGTATAAGCAACTATGTTGCTGAGCTTTTGTTAATGTGGGAGTTCAAATATCTTGGAATTTGTGTTCTGCTTGTCTTTTCAGCATTGCTTTTTTAAAATTGTGCTTGAAGTAATAAGTTTTCCCAAGCTGTTGTCGTCATTTACAAATCCAAGGGCCGTGAGTAGCATAGTCCTAGATTTAATCTGATTTTATTTTAGCTCCTGAAGCTAGTGACATCAACAAACACAAGACCAAATGATAAAGTTGTGCTTAACCTTCTGTTGTCTTCTTCATTTCTGTGGTTAAAGGCAGTGACAAAGGGACAAATCTCCAAACTAATATGAGGTGACTGAACTTGCATTTTCAAATGAAGGCAGGGAATTAAGACCCACGGATGGGTTGGGGTTTTGTGTATGTTGCCATCCATTTTTTGTTGCTGATTTCTGGGCTTGCCTAAAGCCTCCTGAAGTTGATGTAAATGTGGCCATTGCTTTAGCAGAATCTATGTTTTCGTATTGCCACACAAGCAATACCTGTAAATACTGGGCACAAAATGCCTGAGAAGTTGCTTGGTAAAAAACTGAAGTTCTTCGTGTTTCAAACAGTGTTTGAAGAATACCAGAAACTGGCCGGTAAAAGCATGGAAGACTCTATCAGGAGTGAAACTCATGGTTCACTTGAGGATGCCATGCTGGCTATTGGTAAGAGTGGCTACTTTTCCCTTTCTTTTGTCTGAGTCTGCTGCCTTTTCTCCTGCAGCAGTTGACTGTTATGGGATGGATCTACTTTATAAAGGTATCTGGTAGGAAGTAAAGGGTACTTCTCAGGTAAGAAAAACCCAGATCCGGTGCACGCTGAATTAGTGGAAAGCATGTTGAATCTCTGTTACCTGCTGCCCTGGACTGGAATTACCATTGATTCTCATTGAACCTTTTTGTATCCCTAGTGAAATGCACCAGGAACATCCATTGCTACTTTGCAGAGAGGCTGTACCGTGCTTTAAAGGTAAGACTCTTCATTGTGAACATACTTGTTTTCATACTGGACTTAACTACTAACCTAGCTTCCACTAATTCAAATTAGAAAAGCCAATATTTTGGTGAAATACAGCAAGTTTAGTGCTATTGTTGCAAGTAATAGCAGATCCCTTCAGACACCTTGTGTAGAAAAGTACCCTTCAAGCTTGAGATACCAAGGGAGTCTGGCTTTTCTGACTTAGGAATCTGCAAGAAGCCCAGTCTCACCTTCTGGAACATTGATGGAACTTGTGGAAGATGCTTTTCTAGGAGGTTGACCATGGTGGAGTTTTGCCCGTAATGTTAACTTAATGGACTGAATCACAATATTTTATTTTTAGGAAGCAATTCTCTCAATGGCAGTATAAAATGAAAGAGTTCCAAATGCGACATGTAAGGCACCTGCAGATTGTGCCCCTGGAACTCTCAACTGATGTGTAGAAGATATCAGCTCTCCCATATTTGTGGAAAGCTGAGTGATTTTTTTTGTTATTGATGTAATCTTAATTTTCCTGTGAGTGATTAAACAATATTGATTGAAGCCAAGTGCTGTATGGATAGTGCTGCAGAAGGACAATATGTATTGAGTGCCCACTTCCGACTCTGTAGCATGCTTGCTTTTGCATTTGATATGCGCAAAGATTCATAGCACACTTTGATGGGGGCCTTGTGGTATTGACTGTGGCCCCTGGGAGCGGGGTGGGGGTTGGCCCTCCAGAAAGAGAAGCTCATGTGCTGCATAACATGTGCCAAGCGATGTTTGAAAGATGACTCCTCCTGTCCTGGACCAGCTTGCAAAAGCTTATGCCTTGAACACCCACTAAGATCACAGACTGACATGTCAGTGGATGAGGGAAAGGCTGTGGATGTTGTCTACCGGGACTTTAGTAAGGCCTTTGACACTGTTCCCCACATCATCCTCCTGGAGAAACTAGCTGCCCGTGGTTTGGTTAGGTGTACTCTTCGCTGGATAAAGAACTGGCTGAATGGCCATGCGCATAGAGTGGTGGTGAATGGAGTTAAATCCATTTGGCCGCCAGTCACGAGTAGTGTTCCCCAGGGCTCCGTTTTGGGTCCAGTCTTGTTTGACATCTTTATCAATGATCTGGATGAGAGGTTTGAGTGCTCCCTGAGTAAGTTTGCAGATGACACCAAGTTTGGCAAGAGTGTCAATCTGCTGGACAGTAGGAAGGCTCTGCAGAGGGATCTGGCAGGCTGGATCAATGGGCTGAGGCCAGCTGTATGAGGTTCAACAAGGCCAAGCGCCGGGCCCTGCACTTTGTTCACAACAACCCCATGCAAGGCTACAGGCTTGGGGAAGAGTGGCTGGAAAGCTGCCCAGCAGAAAAGGATCTTGGGGTGCTGGTCAACAGCTGGCTGAACATGAGCCAGCAGTGTGCCCAGGTGGCCAAGAAGGCCAACAGTATCCTGGCTTGTATCAGGGATAGTGTGGCCAGCAGGAGTGAGGAGATGATTGGTGCCCCTGTACTCAACACTGGTGAGGCCACACCTCGAGTACTGTGTTCAGTTTTGGGCCCCTCACTACAAGAAAGACATGGAGCTGCTAGAGTGTGTCCAGAGAAGGTCAACGAGGCTGCTGAAAGGTCTAGAGAACATGTCTTACAAGGAGCGGCTGAAGGAGCTGGGACTGTTTAGTCTGGAGAAGAGAAGGCTGAGGGGGGACCTTATTGCTCTCTGCAACTACCTGAAGGCAGTTGTAGTGAGGCAGGGGTTGGTCTCTTCTCCCAGGTAACTAGCAACAGGATGAGAGGCGAAGGCCTCAAGTTGCATCAAGGGAGATTTAGATTGGATATTAGGAAAAATTTCTTTACTGAAAGAGTGGTCAGGCATTGGAATAGGCTTCCCCAGGGAGGTGGATGAGTCACCATCCCTGGAGGTATTCAAAACGCATGTAGATCTGGCACTTCGGGATATGGTTTAGTAGGCATGGTGGTATTGGGTTGATGGTTGGACTTGATGATCTTAAAAGTCTTTTCCAACCTATGATTCTGTGATTCTATGATCTGTTATTTCAGGGGGCTGGCACCCATGATGGGACTCTTATAAGGGTGATCGTTTCTCGAAGTGAAGTTGACTTAAATCTGATAAAGGCTGAATTCAAGAATATTGCAGGAAAGTCTCTCTCCAGTATGATTCTGGTAAGCAGCATCTTGATATGGTGGTTCTTTGCCATCACACATATTCCAAACCTGTCCAGCACTGTGGGATGCTTTCATGCTTGTTTTCAGTAAAAATGTCATTTCTGCTGACATCATAGCTCTCCTTCATTAGCTCTGCTAACAATCAGCTCCTTGAGTGACATGTATGCCTGAAAGGTAAGTCAGATTGGGTGCTCTGTAAGTGACTTGGGCAAAGCCAAACCCAAGCAGAAACTGCTCCAGGTTTTGCACGGGCCAGACTGTCCATGCACTTTATGATCTCCTGGATGACTCAAGATTCATTTAATCGTTCCTGTTATACCTTTTCCACACCGTTGTACTATTTTCTCCTCTGGGTCTCTCTGCTGTCCTTCACTACCTCAAGCCAGTGGCATGTAAGTCAAAATAGTGCTGCGTTTTTTTAGGTTTTTTTGTTGTTGTTGTGGGTTTGGTTTTGGATGTGTGTGGTTTTTTTTTCTTTTCACAGAATCACAGAATGTTAGGGGTTGGAAGGGACCTCTGTGGGTCATCTAGTCCGACCCCCCTGCTGAAGCAGGGTCACCTACAGCAGGCTGCACAGGACCTTGCCCAGGCAGGTCTTGAATATCTCCAGAGAAGGAGACTCCATAACCTCCCTGGGCAACCGGTTCCGGTGTCCTGTCACCCTCAGAGTGAAGTTCTTCCTTGTATTCATATGGAACTTCCTATGCTTCAGTTTGTGCCCGTTGCCCCTTTTCCTGTCACTGGGCACCACTGAAAAGAGTCTGGCCTTGTCCTCTTGACACCCACCCTTGAGATATTTATAAGCATTTATAAGGTCCCCTCGCAGCCTTCTCATCTTCAGGCTGAACAAACCCAGCTCCCTCAGCCTTTCCTCGTAGGAGAGATGCTCCAGTCCCCTCACCATCCTCATAGCCCTCCACTGGACTCTCTCCAGTACTTCCTTAACTTTCTTCAACTGGGGAGCCCAGAACTGGACACAGTACTCCAGATGGGGCCTCACTAAGGCAGAGTAGAGGGGGAGGAGAACCTCCCTCGACCTG